CTTGGGGATTATGATGATGTAAGGAAGAACCGAGAGACGAAAAGAGACACAGACAGAGAGAGAGAGAGAGAGAGATAACAAACAGACAAACAGGTAAATAGACAGGTAGAGACGGTAGCAAGAGGGAGGGCGTAAGAGAAGGAAAGTGACTCTGGCAGATATGAGGGGAAGGGAGGGGTGAGAGAGGCAGGCACAGACACAAACAGGCAATAGGGAAGGAGAACGAGACATGAAAGAGAGAGAGAGAGAGAGAGAGAGAGAGAGAGAGAGAGAGAGAGAGCACTCGTAATAATTCCATCAGGTTGTGTCGCTCCCAGAATGCTGCCCCGTTCTCGCTCCAGAAGTTCAACATTTCCTGTTTTATTTGGTCTTCACTTCACTCTATTCTGCCTCACCTTCCTCGCCTGGTTCCCACACCTGCACTTAATTTACGCCTCTTCAGTCAACCCCAATGCACGCCACATCCTGACCTCACTGATTGATGTAAATCGCGATTGAGGGAGATTGTTTTTATTCTACTAAGTGAAGATTATTAAGGTATATATATATCCATTACCCTTGAGAATTTAGAAGAATATAAATACCAATAAACAAAGAAAATCAAATAAAAGACTAAAATAACAACTCACTCTCCCCGATTCCTTTGCTATTTGACCGTCACCCTAAAAAAAATACCTCGACAGTCTCAGGTGCTGTTGATATAGTACAATACACACACATGTTTGGCAAGTATGATGACCGTATCTTTTACTTGTTCTGAAGTTGTGTGTTGAAGACGTGAATAGCTAAATGTATATCGATGGATTCACTAGCCTACAGTAACCTAACCTACTCACGCGATATCGTCACTGTTTGGGACGAATAATGAAGTTAGTTTACAGTACTTGTCAGGGGTGTTTGTGGGGTACTTGTCAGGGGTTTTTGTGGGGTACTTGTCAGGGGGCTTTTGTGGGGTACTTGTCAGGGGGCTTTTGTGGGGTACTTGTCAGGGGGCTTTTGTGGGGTACTTGTCGTCAGGGGCTTTTGTGGGGTACTTGTCAGGGGGCTTTTGTGGGGTACTTGTCAGGGGGCTTTTGTGGGCTGTCTCTTAATGAACAACTTTATACCAATTTGATAGACGTGATAATTTAGTTTACAGGATATTATTTTCGGTTCTGTCTGTCTGTCTGTCTGTGTCTGTCTGTCGGTCTGTCTCCAAAATATCTCAAGGAAGGGTTTGTAAATTTTCACCAATTTGCCTTAACTCTTAATACAAACATCGTCAAAATTTACCAAATGCTTCCGTGGTAACTGTTCACATAATGATCACCTTTTTTTTAGGACTATAGAAAATGATGACATGACACAGTCTCCAGCGGTAACTACATCATTTTACGATAACAACCCTAATACGTTGTTTACTATGTTGTGATACCGTTTTGTGGGCAGTGATGTTGTTTTGGTTGTATTATTATTATTACTGTTGTTGTTTTTGTTGTTGTTATTATTGTTGGGATTATTATTATTATTATCATTATTATTATTTTTATTATTATTATTATTGTTATTATTATTATTATTATTATTATTATTATTATTATTATTATTATTATTATTATTATTGATGATTGACAAATACAAACAGCAGTTCAAGAGATCACTCAAGACATTCGTCTATATACTAACCGGTACAGGACTGTGACTCCCTGGGTGAACCACTGTAAAGGCAGGAGGGTCGTGTGGGCTTGGAATATTGTGGGGAAAAGGTGGTGGTGGTGGGGGGGGGTTAAGTGTGTGTGTGTGTGTGTGTGTGTGTGTGTGTGTGTGTGTGTGTGTGTGTGTGTGTGTGTGTGTGTGTGTGTGTGTGTGTGTGTGTGTGTGTGTATGTTGATTATGACTACAATGGTGTTAGTCTAATCAAATTTAACCTTATTTAATGTAACTTACCTTAAATTAACATCAAGTATCCTAACTTGGCTAATCTAACCAAATTTCACCTGACTCTTCTAACCTAACATAACTTTACACGACTAGTTTAAGCTAATTTAACCTATATAACCTAACCTAACCTTCCCTGATTAACCTAGCCTAATGTTACCTGACCAATCCAACCTAACTTAACCTAGTTAATCCTAAATCAACTCCGAAAAAATAACCTAAAGTCGTTTGGTTAGGTTAAGTTTAGTCAAGGTAGGTTAATTAAATCAGGTCAGATTGGTTACCTTTGGTTGGCTCAGGTTAGGTTTCTTAGGTCAGGTTGTTCAGTTATATTTGGTTAGGTTAGGTTAAGACATGTTAGGTTAGATCAGGCAAAGGTTGGTTAGGTCAGGTTAGGGCGGCTAAGTCAGATTAGGTTAGGTTAGGTTAGCTTGTTCAAATCAAATTCGGTTAGCTTAGGTTACGTTGGGTTAGGTTAGGTTAGGTTAGGTTAGGTTAGATGTGTTTGGTTCTTGTCACCATAAACACCATAATGAATAACACACACTCAAGCTCCTCGTCCACCCAACCCGGATCGATGTGTGCCTAACCTAACCTAACCCACCAACTAAACAATAGTCAATATGTACTTACTACTTATTCATGCAGTACCGATATTGATAACAGAATATTTCATCTAATATTTACTAGGAATTTCACCTGTAATTGAACGATAATTTGTGTAAGTTATAGTGTTGTTCTTTACATTCACTTAGGCTATTTTAATAGAATTTGTCTTGACATTTTCTAAAAGAACTAAAAATCAACTTTGGGCCTTTACATATTTTTAGGGGGATTTTATTGTTTTTCTTCACGAATCTCTAACTATATAAATTTCTTAAAAATATAAATATATCGAAAAATATATAAAATTTCAGTTTATATTTCTTATTTTTTTCAGTATATGTAATTAAGAAAAACATATTGGCTTTTTTTCCATAATATTTGTCGTAATTGATGCGTTAATTAAACCTTTGATGACAGTGTTGGTTTATTATCCTCAAAGTATTAAACCATCACCCTTACGACGTCAAATATAATCATCCTGAAAGAGTTAAACCATCGTCCTCGGAGGATTAAACCAGAAACGTTCAACCTGTAGGTAACTAAACACAGGTAAAACTAATTTGGGGAATTTTCTTTAAGTAATGAAAAACACACCAAAAAAAAATCCAAAGCATATCTTAAATGTTTTCTTCATATAATTCCCATATTTTTTCCATTCAATTTAATATAACGAGACGAATCAAAGTTTATAAAGGGGTAAATTCTCAGGTGATTATAAGGTTCTGAATCTCCCTTTGCTTAGTGAAGGGACGGGTGTTCCTGGTGTCACTGTCCCTGCCTCATGATACCTGACGCGGTGTGGTGATAGTGACGGTGGTTAACAGAGCCATGAAGAAGATAGTAATTAGGTTATTAGCTGAAGAAGGTTGAGATACTATTGGTTTAAAATCACCGTCCACTGTGGCGTAAACTATTGACTTCAAAAGATTAGGTCATCGTCCTCAAAGGGTTAAGTCATCGTCGTCCTCAAAGGGTTAAGTCATCGTCCTCAAAGGGTTAAGTCATCGTCGTCCTCAAAGGGTTAAGTCATCGTCCTCAAAGGGTTAAGTCATCGTCCTCAAAGGGTTAAGTCATCGTCCTCAAAGGGTTAAACTGTTGGCTAGTCAGTGTTAGACAAAGTTAAATTAGTCAAGGTTTGGTTAGGTTAATCAAGATTGGCTCAGGTTAGTTAAGGTTAGGTTAGGTTAGGTTAGGTTACATTAGTCAGTGTTAGGTTAGGTTAGGTTAATCAAGATTGGCTCAGGTTAGTTAAGGTTGGATTAGGTTAGCCAAGGTTGGATTAGGTTAGGTTAATTTATACGATCAGGTTAGTGAAATTTGGATTAGTTTAGTTAAGATCAGCTCTGGTTAGTCAGGGATGGGTTAGGTTAGGTTAGGTTAGGAGGTCTTGCATGGCTGGATAACCTGGTGTATTATGTACGTATTAGGTAACGTTAACTTGCTCCGGGTTTATTTCACTGATACATGACTCTGAAATAGTTGATGTTTCTGCTTAGCGTTGTGGTGTTTTCAAGCGGCCAGTCCTCACCCTTTCAAGCTGTGAGGGAGGTTTGTACACCAGATCAAGCTTGCCATCACACCATATCAAGCTTGCCATCACACCAGATCAAACTTGCCATTCCACCAGATCAAGCTTGCCATCACACCAAATCAAGCTTACCATCACACTAGACCAGGATTCCCATCACTCCAGACCAGGATTGCCATTACACCAGATCAAGCTTGGCATCACACCAGATCAGGCGTGCCAACACACCAGATCAAGCTTGCCATCACGCTTGATATGAATTCACCTACGTCGTCTATACATTAATGGTGTGGTTCGTGACGTTGATGTTTAATGGTGTGGTCGTGACGTGATGGTTAATGATGTGGTCGTGACGTTGATCGTTAATGATGTGGTCGTGACGTGATGGTTAATGATGTGGTCGTGACGTTGATGGTTAATGATGTGGTCGTGACGTTGATGGTTAATGATGTGGTCGTGACGTTGATGGTTAATGATGTGGTCGTGACGTTGATGGTTAATGATGTGGTCGTGACGTTGATGGTTAATGAGGTGTGTGAGAAGGTGTACTCAGGTAACCAAGCTAACCGCTGCTTCGATCCATAGCATAAGTGTTTTAGCCAGATGAGGTCTTCTTTCTTGATATATCCGGATGAGATATTCTTTCAAGGTATGACCAGATGAGGTATATATGTCCAAAGAAGATATACATTAAAGGTATACTCTATATGGTCAAAATAAAGTACAGTTTCAGCGTACGTAATATAAAAATTTAGCGAAGGATTAATCCATTAAAAATGATGTACTCAATAAAATCCCGGTCACCTGTATTCAATAAAATCCCGGTCACCTGTACTCAATAAAATCCCAGTCACCTGTACTCAATAAAATCCCGGTCACCTGTACTCAATAAAATCCCGGTCACCTGTACTCAATAAATTCCCGGTCACCTGCACTAATTAGTACTCACCTGGTTTCACTCACTGCTGCGGGGTCTGTTATATTTATTCACTCTTAATAAAATTTCTTGTTATAGGGAAGTAACGCGCACTCTGCCACTGTCACACAATGATTTCACTCTCAACATAAAACCGAGACTTCCGGCCTATCAGCCAAGTTACAGAAAGCATCCAAAAATTTAATCATTATCTATATTTTGACACTTTTGCTATTTACTATTTTTTTTAAGCATGAGAGATACCTAGTAGTTGACGGTGAGGATTATATATAAGTGGTTGAGGAATGAGTTTAGAGCTCTCTCTCTTTCTCTCGCGGGGAGGGTCTGTGAACTACGACTCGCGCGAACTAAACTGTTTGACGCGAATAAGGGAGACGGTTCGCGCAGGACGTCTGTATCCCACGGCTGCCACGCCACGACTGACCCGCCTCCGGGACGGGTCTGCTGCTGCTGCTTCTGCCTTCACACACCCCCCACACTTACACCCTACACTTACACCCTACACTTACACCCTACACTTACACCCCACACTTACACCCTACACTTACACCCTTCACTTACACTGTACACTTACACCCCACACTAACACATGGAAAAAGGTTGTTCCCACACATTTGGAGGAAATATTTCAATACACACACACTACTACTACTACTACTTAGATGACACTCGGAATCTAGTATGACGATCATCCAGCTACGAGACAATGATATTAGTTATTAAGGATGTCACCTTCGTTGGTAAGTTCTGAGGTGACTAAAGAGACCGATACGGGACCGGCAGTGCCGTCCACAGATGTTGCACGTGTGGAGGGCTACATCTAGTGCGGGAGGGGCGGGCACCGTCTTTCCGGCGTTGGCGCTTGTCTGCCTCGGTAGGCAGTGGGCTAACTCGAAAGTATTGACACCTTCTCGTGTGGTGCTCCTCCAAGCGTTACTGTGGAGTAATCGTCTCCCAGGTGAGGGGGGTCCATTTGGCACTTTTCCAGGTTTGTCTTAAGACTATTCTTATACCTTTTCAGTTAACCCCCAGCGTTACATTTACTATTATTTAGGTGACTGTAAAGTAGCTGCTTTGGCAGTCTACTGTCGTCCATGAGGGTAACATGGCCAGTCCAGCGTAGTTGTTTATGGATAATGGTAGCCTCGATAATAATAATATATAATGGTTGCCCCTCGTGTAACGAGGATGGCCGACTCAAGGGCCACCTAGGCGTGAATTTGCTTAAGATGTATAAGCTGTCGCCAACGCAACAACCACACTCTGAGTTAACGAGCTAAGTGACCCAGTGTCAAGGAATAATCCGATAAAACCGGACAACTCGCCAACTGCACTGGCTAATCATTACCCCAGAACACGATCCGTAAGTCGATTAACATCCAGGTCCCCAATTACTGCTGGGTAGACAGAGGCAAATGGCGTAAAGAAACTTGCCCACAGTTTCACCCTGCCCGGGGATCGAACCCGGGTCCACTCGCTTGCGAGACAAGTATGTTGACGATTACACCACAGGTCGCCACGACACACACACACACACACACACATAGGTACACTTTATTACACCTGCTGAGAGTCGTACATATGCATTATTACTACACCCATTCACACGTACACACACCTGGTTACGTTATCACTATACCCTTACACACCTGACTGCGTTCTCATTACACCTCTACACACACCTGGTTACGTTATCACTACACCCTTACTCACCTGACTGCGCTCTCATTACACCTTTACACTCTTGACTGTGCTCTCATTACACCCCTACACACACACACACACACACACACACACACACACACACCTGCCTATGCTATGACTACACCCTTACACACCTTACTGCGCTGCCATTACACCCCTACATATACTGTACACCTGAAATGCTGCCCCCACACACCTAGATGCATAGGTAGCTCAGCTGTAGCAGGTGAGAGAGAGAGAGAGAGAGAGAGAGAGAGAGAGAGAGAGAGAGAGAGAGAGCATAAAACAATCCTAACCACCATCACACCACTACCACAATCACCTACCACACACCACTACCACCACTACGCATCGCCCATTATCCACACAATACAAACAGCTTAACCATTAAATTACTAAGCATCACACCGTTAACGATAATCATCCTCTTATAATAGGACTTCCACCTACCCTGCTTCCCCAACCCTACCCCTACCCCCCACACCCCCCACCCGCCTCCCCCACCCCACCCTCTCCCCCCCACCCTCCCTACCCCCACCACCCCCACCTCCTCCCCAACCCCACCCTCCTCCTGACACCTCCTCCCCAACCCCACCCTCCATCCCCCACCCCCACCCTCCTCCCCACCCCACCCTCCCCTCCCCACCCCACCCTCCCTCCCCACCCCCACCCTCCTCCCACCCCACCCTCCCTCCTAACCCCACCCTCCTCCCCACCCCTCCCCACCCCCCACCCTCCCTCCCCACCCCCACCTCCTCCCCACCCCCACCCTCCTCCCCACCCCCCTCCCCACCTCCCCTACTCCCCCTTCTTTCCTACCTAGTATGTTTTTCCTCTGCTAGCTTGTTCCTCCCTCACTCTGAAAACTATCTCAATGGAAGCAGTCGATTAATGTCAAAATAGACACCATGACTCCTGTTGTCTCGTAGGGTATAAAATCCTTCACCTGTTGTGTCAGATTGTTTCACGCAAAATCGTTCACCCCTTAGCCCCCCTCGAAGTGTGGCTCAGGGTGTGGCTCAGTATGTGGCTCAGTGTGTGGGATGTGGTGTACTTGTTTATATGTAGTTTAGTTCTGAAATAATAATAATTAATAAACACATTTAATGAAACAAAATATCTTGTTAAATATAATCTAGTTTGTATGAATTTAAACCAATATATAAGAGTTTGTTTCTGAGGCGATGGGTCCCTTTAACTTATACATACATACATACATACATACATACATACATACATACATACATACATACATACATACATACATACATGAAGTGGGATGGAATATCTATGGAACAATAAAACAAAAATATGAAAATTATAATTATATTTGAACACCTGACGTAGACAACATTGTTTACACCAGCCATCGTCCTCAAAGGTTGTCTACTGTCCTTCATGGAGACTTAATGAGCACGTTGTAACTATTCATGGAGCTGCCGTGTTTTTTTTTTTGCTTCCCTACGAGCGAACAAGGTCACACACTCTTGTTCTCCGTCGTAACGTTACAGAGCTGGTTCATTAAACAACTGAGAATTGGTAGTTAAAGGTTGTTATTGTTTGGGGTTTGTTTACAGGGTTAAAATTATAAGGTAGTTATTTTATCTTCTCCTGTACGGGTTTTATGTATCAGTAAAGTAAAGTTCAAAATGATGATAATGGGACGTTGATTTGCCTCTCAGGTGACTCATGACACTCAGGTGACTCATGACACTCTGGTGACTCATGACATTTAGGTGACTCATGACACTCAGGTGACTCATAACACTCCGACTTAATCTAATCCTACTTAATATGACCTAACCTAATCTAACCTGGCCTGACCTAATGTGGTGCAAATTTACTTAACCTAACCTAATCAGAGGTTAGTATAATAATAATAATAATAATAATAATAATAATAATATTAATAATAATAATAATAATAATAATAATAATAATAATAATAATAATAATAATAATAATAATAATAATAATAATAATAATAATCAGTAAAATCATCATAAGTATTACATTTAGTTTAACATGAATAGAGATTATGTAGGTATACGGTATACATAGAAGGTGAAATTATACAGTTTCTAGTGCACCTATAAGACAGTACAGGTAAACAACAACAGTAAACAATAAGTCAATTTAACCATGGATAGCAAACAAAGCCAATTGATTTTTATTTCCAGTAGAGTCCTTAACGCCGTGGTGTTTACGAAGACAATAAAACACAAACAACTGATATAGGGTTGTCTGTTTGTTTGTTTACATGTAGATAATTTCCTAGTGCCACGAGGTCATATTTCAGGGTCATAGCAGTGCCACAGAGGTCAGGGGTCATGTACAATCACTCAGTAAACTATCAATACAAAAATATGTGGAAAAATTGTGTCACGACGGATGAAGGATTTTGATATCCCTACCGAGACAACAGGAGTCGTAGTGTTCATTCTGAAATTCATCGATCACCAACAAATTCTCTCTCTTGTTGCACTTGGTTCTCTTGTGAGGATTAGCCTAAGTGTTTATTTTAGGTTAGGTTAGGTTGAATTAAGTTATGGTATGTTATGTTATGTTATTTTAGGTTAAGTTAAGGTGAATAAGTTAGATTAAGTTAGGTGAAGGTAGCGTTATGGTGTACTCTCAAGGTAAGATAAACAAGACTACCTAATCATCAGGTGGACCCAAATTTCCTGTCTGAACACATCCATCTTACAATATCTAAATCATTTTTATCCTCAATAGAACTGAGTCTTATAAAACAAATTGCTTCGCCTCACCTTAATATTTAACCCACCATTAACTCAAGTCTTGAGAAAATGTTCCCTATTTAAATAATTGCATAAAGAGCAACGCAATTTATGTGTTTTCCTCCTCTCGTCTACATATTACCTCACCCACCTCACCTGTACGTTAACACCTTCCTTAACTCACCTAAACTTACCTCACCTCACCTCGCCTAACCTAACCTAACCTAACCTTTCACCTGAGCGTTTGTACTTGAAAAAAAAATGGCTTACCTGAAGAATAAATAATCCGCCAGCTTATTTCACCTGAGAATTAATTACCGTAAACGCTACCTGGGGAGATTTGGTTAGGTTAGGTTTGATTGGGTTAGGTTAGGTTTCATTGGTTAGGTTAGGTTAGGTTAGGAAAGGTTTGCTAGGTTAGTTTAGTTTATTTTGGTTTGGATATATTCGGATAGGTCAGTTTGATCAAAAATTATTTACTTTAATTTACTTTTTGGTTAATTTAGTTTAGATAATCCAACTCCCCCCACTGTATGCCCGAGCTTCAGCCATTTCATTGAACTTCACAATTTTTCTCAATCTTGGGAGTAATTGGACCCCAACCTTACCCCACCCACCCCAGCCCAACTCAACCCACCCCCACCCCACTCCAACCCATCGCACCCACCCCACCCCCATCCCTAACCCCACCACACCACCCAACCCTACCACCTCTAACCCACCCCCAACCCACCTCCAACCCACTTCCTAGCATTACTACCATCGAGCCTAATCATAGAGAAGATTGGAAGCTCTTTACCCCATCACTGCCTGCCTCTCTCCGCCTCTCGCCCGTGGTTCACTTCCATTCTACCATAATTTTGGTTCAAGTGGAAGACCGCGATTGCTTATAGACGGTGGTCCGTACTTGAGAGAGAGAGAGAGAGAGAGAGAGAGAGAGAGAGAGGAGAATAGATCTAA